TAACACCTAAGTCCTCAGGAATAGCGACGGATGGGTGGTATCATGGACGAAATAGTATATTTATTTATTTATTTACACTTTATTGCACCAGGCAAAAAGAGAAATAACAAATACAGTTAATATTAATGAGAAGTGATACAAAAGGCGGCCTTATCGCTAAGCAATCTCTTCCAGACAACCTTTGGGTAGAGGACATTGAGAAAAAGACAAAGGGTAGGTGGCGCACTATTATATAAATATTATCATATATACTTTGTTGTTATGTCCATGGTACTGCTCATGTCTATAGGCGACGGTTACCATTTTTCATCAAGTGATCCGTTTTGCATTTATGTTTGCATGTTTGCCATTATAAGTTGCATAAAAAAAAATTAAGTATGTTATAAGAAAAGATTTTTTGAAAGATGTCGTTTATTTATATTTATGAAGATAACTTTAATAATATTATATATATATATATATATATATATATATATATATATATATATATATATATATATATATATATATATATATATATATATATATATATATATAAATTTTTAATAATAATTGTATATCTTTTTTAAAAAGATATAATAGAAAAGATGAATAGATTTTATATACTCTGAAGGAAAAGTTAAGTCTACGGAATAGACAAAAATAAATGGATCAAAAAGTGTGTAAATATAATGTCCATTTGTTCTAAAAACTTGTATTTCTTCCAAATTAGAATGCCTATATTTGTTTAAAAGTTAGTGGTCTAAAATAAAGAATTACTAGTTCTTTATATTCTATAACTAGCTTTTACACGCGACTTCGTCCGCGTAACCGGCATATGTTTAATGACCGGGATAAAAATAGTCTATAATCCTTTTACATCCCATGTGGTAAATGTATACCAAACTTTATAGTGATTGGTTAAGCAATTAAGGTGCTATAATGTAATAAAGTGATATAAAAAATGTTACCTTGTTAAAAAAATCCATTCGTGCTGCAAATGTCACAGCTTATCAAGCGTAAAGATTTATATGGACGATAATAAAATTCTATAGTTTGTTGTTTTAGCCGGTGACTAAAATCCGATCTGGATTCCTTTCGTGCAGAACAATGTTTCCTACGTGACGGTGAAATCACCTGCATTCATACGTAAACATGCATGGAAATTGTCTTATTTACAAACAGATACGTCTATCCACAGATAGAGCGCAATCCAATTAATTATAATAATAAAAAACCAATGAAGCTCACTAGCTTTAGTCATGGTATCACTAAGTATGTTTAGACTTAGGGAAATATTTAAGTAAGAATCTAAAACTGTAATAGTCCTACAAACGCTCTTATGTTTTATTTATAGGAAGTGTGTTGTACCATAATGAGTTAATTTATTACATTTGTTTAGTTGTATATAAATAAATTTATATATTAAATCCAATATAATAAAATTAACGAATCGTTATAACAATTGCGATGTATTAACATAATTATTTTGTCTTGTTACTAACACAATAGTCATGGTTTTGATCTGCACTTACATAGTTCAACATATTACTTTTAACTCACGGTAAGATGTCATATAATAATATATTTCTTTACTATATCTTCTACTAATAAACAAATAATACATTTAAATGATGCAAATACAAAATTACTTTACGTCATTTTTACCTAGCTAGTCTAAATATATATATTTTTTTTAATTTCAGAGTGTCCTCCTCATCTACGAATACGGAAGCAATATGGAATTTAAATTTGCTAATAAAACAACAAAGAAAAATAACTAACTCAATCTTATAAATGATACTACAGACACAACTAATTCTTTTGAAGAAAAATTTTGTAAAACAACAATAAATTTCAATAAAACAACTATAAAACTTCTGCCTTTTGATAATAAAAGCGCTGAAACATAATAGATATTTAGAGAAAATTGTTGAAGACTACTCTAATTCTATTAAGGATGAAACAAGTGACACCTCTGAAACTATTGCGACAGATTTATTCTCGAATAATAGAAATTGGATAAGAATTCCTGCTTCTAAACTATATAATATTAAATAAAAAACATCACCAATTATATATTTAAAAAATCCAATAAGAAATATAGATTATTATGCAAAAGTAAGAAAAATAAGAGACTATAAAAGGATAATGAATTATGTTGAAAAAATGATAAATGACAGAGGAGGTTTCTACTACACCAAGCCTTTTAAAAAAGAGTATTCAACCTCAACTGAAGGAACATCATCAAAATCTAAATCTGACACTAAATTCATTAATCATCATCGGCAACCAAAGTTACAATCACGAAAACAACTACACGAAATACTGGTTAAGAAAAACTCACAGCCGTTATCTAATAATGATACTATCAATTGTAAATGTCAAAATAAATTGAAGAATCTACTGGATACATTAATTTCAAATATACGGCAGTTATTGCCAGATGATAGGAATTATGGACTGCCACTAACATCGCCTCGTAATGGAAACAAATTAATAGCATCAATACACGAAGACACCACAACAAAACCTTGTATTCGTGAAACAACAACTAGCTCAAAACTGGCAACCACTACATCAAAAAGAATAGAATCATTTAGAAAAACAACGACTAAGTAACGCAAATTAATAAATAAAAACATTAAACCTTTATCTGAATTTGATCACATAATATCCAAAATTGCACCTAAACCAATTAATAACAAGACTTCCATAAAATATTCGAAACTGGATCCTTTATATTATCAAGAAGCAAATAATATTATGAATATCACAGTTTATGATGTAAATTCAAATAATCCCAGTACATGTGTAAAAAGCTATACTGATACTACAGTACACAATAATCATTTAAGAACGACAAGACCGATGTTATCAGTTAATACAACTAATGAAGTAGAAAAAGTTGTTAAACCGGACATATTAATAGCAACAAACTTTGAATTTCCAACAAAACCGGTAGCAAAGACCACAGCAATTGATCCAAATTTTATATTTAGTAAAATATTTGGGCTATCCATAAACAAATCAGACACCAATCCAAAATTAAACGTATCTGCGAGCATGTATAGTAAAATATTTAACTACGATGACAATAATCTGCTTAAAAAAATCAATTCACTAAAAATGTAATCAATGAAGATGATTATAATGATTTTGACATTACGACTCCGAGTAATTGAAATTAAGTAATTGAAAAATCTCTTGATATAAATATCATAGAATTGATTAAATCGAAACAAATATCCAATAAAAGAATACCAATGACAAAATTGGAAGCTGGAGTTAAAATTGAAAGCACTACCAAAGCCGCAAGTTTAGGGGAATTGCAAAAGAAATCAACATATTCAAGTTATTCTAGTAATGAAAAAAGTTACACTCCTGTCAAAGATACTATAAAAAGCACGACAACCCAAGCATATATTAATAGACAATTAAGGCGTTTCAAAAGTCCAACAGTAAAAGACGAGAGCGAAAGAATTGATATGGATGACGACTTTGTAAAAGATGATATAACTATTAATTCCATTACACCGCTTCAGAATGCCAGTCTAATATTTAAAAATGGAACATTAAAAATAAAAACAAATTTATGGATGTCGCTGAAAAGTAACGAGGACGTTTTGTTATCACAATCAATGTTGCCACAAAATAGACCGACATATTTGGAAATTCAAAGAAATTATTGGAAACACGATGATCCTGTCGACTACGATATTGATGTGAAATATAATAATTTCGACTAAGTAATTTAACCTTTAAATTAAGTGACCTTTTAAAATAAATATTAAATTAATGTATGTGATTTTAATTGATGTGATTGTACGATTTTATAAATAATTATAAACAAATATTTATAATGTACCTGTACCTATAAATATATACGAGTATAAATGGCTGTTATACGACTATGTAAGTTTTTATTTTGACTCTTAATACTTTTATATTTTATTGGAATAGATAAAATGATATTTACACAACTATAAATTATTATTATTTATATATATCGTATATATTAATATTTTTAGAATCTTTCCTCATAAAAGGATGATACTAGCTAGCAGAAGATAATACCATTACCATGCAGTCCTGAGGACTTGGTATTTAATTTCAAATTCATATAATAAATATTTTTGAGGCTTTGTATAGTGTTATTTCACTGTAGAAAATAGAATAGTGATATATGGTTCTTTTTAGAGTAATAAACTCATCTACATGGAAAATTATATGCAATATAAAAGATATTAATACTGCGTCAATAACTTTTCCTTACTATCCCACTAATATTTTAAGCATTTAAAATTGTGAAAATTGACGGTATGTACGATGTATTTGAACAATAACTTAGTGTATTTAAATTGATTAAAATATATTAAAAAAATATTGATAACTCGTTTTTATTCGAAACATCCTCATGAACAGAATATGTCGAAAAAGAAAAGATAAAAAGTTACCTGTCCTTTTCCATCTAAAATCCTATTCTAATCTATTAATAATAATAATAAATGCGAAAGTTTGTAATGATGGACGGATGGATGTTTGTTACTCTTTTATGCAAAAACTATTGAACGGAAAAATTTATGAAATTTGGTACACAAGTAGATTATATCCTAACTTAGCACATAGGATTCTTTGTGTAATCATTCAGAGGGACCGAGCGGAATAAAGCTAGTAACTCATATATAACAAATATCATTACTAAGACTTATGCCATTAAAGCACCAAAAAGTGACAAACAATCACACCTTAACATATTTTATAATATTAATAATGATACATTATGAAATTTACAAAATTTTATCAATAATTTTAATTAAATAGACACCCATTTACTAAAATGTACTTTTATTTATCGATTGCATTTATGAAAAAAGTTACAAAAGAGCTTGAAGTAATAGATATGTATAAAGATAGAGATCTTGGCATTCCATTCTCAATACACCTAACTTCCAATCCCATACGCAAATTGACATAAAAGTAAAATAATAATTATTAAATGGATAATAACTTGTTTCCAGGTAATTCTACTAATCTACGAGTACGCGATTGCAGTAGAATGGAGCTTAGTACAAAACAGAAAATCACACAGAAGAAGTAATAATACAATAATAGTAAATGACACGCCTGTTGCTGACAGACTGGACCGAAGCTACTTCGGTTTTGACCAAGATTATTATGAACGAATGCCACTCCTTGTCAATGCTATGCAAGAGAATAGCTACATAGATCCTTCCATAGACATACCAATGCAAAAGAGAGGAAAATATATCGATATAAGTCATACGAATCCGATTATAACGACTAACGAACCAAAACATACAAATTCTATTAGAAGAACGAGCCCAAGGCCATTTATATACGAACAAAGAAGTCCTACACCGGTACCTTTCAGTAAAACGTTTAGATCAAAAAGTTGGATTGAAAGTTATCGAAATGCTGAAAGACTGAAGAATATACAACAAATTATAAGATACTTAGAGAAAACAATAAATGCAAAAGCAGGTGATATGCATGGGCTTCCACCTAGCACGCATATAGCTTTTTCTGGTGTTTATGTTGAACCCTATAATCATAATGAAAATAAGGGATTTGATGAATCGTCTTCTATTGATTTATTATTAGAAAGTTCCAACAATGTAGAAACTATAAAATCGAGTCAACAATCTGATCCATTATTCAAATACAAGCCAGACAGACCTGGGGATGTTAATTTGTTAGCTGACAGTTACTTACGTTTCATACCAACAACAGCACCGAAATCATTATATAATAGAGAATACGCAAAAGTTCCTATGTTTAGACCAATTCCAGTTCCCAGTCAAAAGAAACCTTTCGATTTACTGCAAGCTTCTTCCGTAAATAACAATCTTAATAATAAATCCATAAATAAAGCAAAGACGTTTAGTGTAATGTTAAATTTGTATCCTTTAATACCTTCTTTAGACCCTAAAGCCAAAATTAATAATATAGATTCTGTTAAAACAGAGAAATCTACACCCAATAATATTTATTTTACTACCTCACGGCCATTATTTCGAAGAAAATCTGCTATTCGACGAACTTCAGTCTCCAATAAAAGACCACGTATGTTTAATGACTACAAAAAACTTAAATATAAAGATGTTATGTTCAACTCTAAAGATAAAACTACTGATAACAATGACCCCGAAAAGAACGCTAATATGATTGTTAAAGTCAATATTTATCATGCTGATAAAGCACCTAAGTTATTTGAAAAGCAAGAAAATGATACACAAACTAATACTAAAGCACTAAACTTAAATAACACCGTTCAAAGAAATTTTGCTCCTGTCACTGACATGCCTATGCAGTTATCAACAACTCAAGTTGAAGATCATCATCTTGGTAGTTCAGGTATTATACCAGTGGAAAATAGGTCAGTACCATCGCCTGTACTACCAATAGTTACAACTATGATTCCATTTTTTGATATCACACCAGCTTCAACAAATACATGGCCTACAAATTCTCCGGAAATTTTAAAATTTAGCCCTGAGGATGCTAAAATTCCCGACCAATACATAAATATTAAAACAAATTATAATCCCCATAGTAATATATTTAAAATTGGCAGACGTAGTTTTAGTGAAAATATTGCTTCAAACGAAAAAAAATCGGAAACAAGGACACTGATTATTAAACTTAAAAATGATTCGGAGAATGTAACTGAAGAAAACACTACACAAAACAAAATAAAAGAAGAAACGACCACGGAGCTTTCTAATGATACTACCACGAAAGAAAATCAAATTAAACATATAAATGGCCATTACCGAAGTAAATTTATTACTAAACAATGGTTAGATCCAAATTCCGAAGCGAACAGAAAAAGAAGACTTCAGTTATTCGCTAAAGGCTTTCGTCGACCAAATTCTAATTCAAGTTATATAGAAATCGATAGAAGTAATAATAATTCACATGAAAGTAATTTAAAAGATACAACTTCAAAATAAAATTTATATTATTTTCACTTCAATAATTTATTTTTTTATTTTTTAGTGACCCACCGACTTTTATTTAATAATGGTAACATTAGCTTAATAGTGCTAATTTTTCTTCGTGACATCAATGTGGGCACAATAAATGTAAATAAAATATCTGTACGTCTACAACCTGCTTTTTTACTAACAGCCCCATCTCTACACATCAATACTTACTAAAGAAACGAAAGCGCAGTTTTATGGAACTCACAACATTCAATTCATATAACTCAACAATCAACGAAGAGATGGCGCTAAATATAATTTTAAAGTTTCTTTCATAAATTTAAACTATTATTAATAATAAGATACGATGAGGAGACGTATAAGCCATTTATATTTTTATTAAAGGTATTCTTTTATTTATATCAAAGTAATTACTTAAAATAACTTGTACTTAAGTCAGTCAGTAGTTGTTAAACTATAGTAGGTAATTGCTATTTTAGTTGTTCATAAATAAATTATTGGTATTCGTATTTTATTATTTGGAAGTTGTTACAAATTAAAGCAATCGAGACATTTTGATTCACCCCTACGCGCAATATTCGTCTAATTTAAAATTATTAATTAATTTTATTTTCTATCGTTTTGTCAATAATGTTTTAGCGTTTATTTCATTATTCAGACCTATCAAAACATCGCAAATCAGCTCTTAAATTATATACGAAATGTCAATTAAAAATTTTCATTTTAGTCTAGTGACCTTATAATATAATACTTGCGCCCTTTTATATCATGACCTAGTATATTCCTCTTCTCTCTCGCACTCCTCTGGCGTCAATCACACTATCTCGTCTCACGCATCTCAAGAAAAAAACCCGTTACTTTTACCTGTGCAAAAAGGCTCTATCTGCGATGCTTCGAGTACAGATATGACGAGCACTATCTATTTCACTCCTACACGAAAAAAATATGTGCGCGCGAAAGGGACACGTACAATACAAATCCAGTACCGTAAACCGGTGGTGCAAGTTTTTGACAGTACCAACAGACAGTATGTTTTAAACTTGACGAAGTCAACTCCGCGAGAACAAATCATGTTTAATTTTATAAATAGTGGTAAATAAATAAATGTGAATTGTAATTATTATTTTATTTTATACGAAACATAATGTGTTGAGTGATGTAGTGAGATTGTATCGTTTAAGGGATTTATTAACTTAAGGTAAGCAGACACTTTTGGACATAACTGTGAAATAACAGTTACTATACTTATAAGCGGAACTTTCTTTGGCTAATTGTCAAGGTCAGTTGTGATGTGAACCATTGAAAAATAATTCAAAGCTTGTCTATAAGTAATAAAATATACTTTTTTAAAAAATGTACTTTATCAAAATATACTTGTTTTTTTTTTATTTAATTATTTAACTAAATAATCAAAGTTCATCATGTTAAAATTATCAAACTACATACTGTTTTGGCCAATTTATTAAGCTGTACGCAGTTTCTACCTATTAATAGTAAAGTCCTCGTCAAATAGATGCTAAACTTGCCAACTTTGTTATGAATTAGGTATACAATAAAAAAAAATACTTAAGTAAATAGAATTAATTATATATATTTCATTTATTTATTTGTTTTGCTGGATATAAAGTTTATTATCATTGTAATATGTGATCAAAATCAGCTTTAAGTATCTATAATATATAATAGCTTTAAGTAATTACTAATTTTAACTAAAAATAAATTAGTACTTTATTAATTATACGTTAAATCAAACCTGTTGAACCAGGTGAACCTACAGTTAAGCAACTACTTCTCGTTTCTTATCTACGTTCTTATCTCCTTTTAATAATATTAACGAACACCGTTACAGACCAGAGGGAGACTTTGTACAAAAGTCGATTACTTGGGTACCTCTGTCCCATTCCTGTTTCAACCGTGAAGCAGTTGTGTTTGCATGGCTGTGTTTCGGTTTGAAGGGTGGGATATGGCGTGAATTTACTGGGTACAGAGGAATAACACCTGAGTCCTCAGGAATGGCAACGCATGGGAAGTATCATGGGCAAGACAGTATACTCTGTTATGTCCATGGTACAGCTCATGTCTATAGGCGAAGGTTACCACTTTCCATCAGGTGGGCCGTCAGCTTGTTTGCCATTCTAAGTCGTGTAAAAAAAAACCCTTATTTTTCATACAAATGAAAGAACTTTAATGTCGCCGTGTGGTCTCGGCATAGAATAGGCCACCCCTTCCTTTCCATGGGAAAAGGAATTGTTAGTAATGGGGTCAAATAGCCTCATTACTAACAATATACCCTTTCAGGTCGACCTCCACGTGGTTCCCCCTGGAAACAATCGTGTTTAATTCTAGTTGAATTCGTCAGGATGGGCTAACTGACCTGCTTTCATCCTCATCAGTCATCTATCACTGGTACCTTGCAGGTGGATACCGATAGCGCATGCGCGGTTGCCATACAATTATCACCCATAAAAAAAACAAACAAACGCTCAAGTTATGAAATGAGCTCCCTGTCTAGATTTTTTCAAGAGACTACATCATGGGGTTCTTCCACAAAGGGATAAAGTGGTATCTCTTTAGGTTTGGCAACGCACGCGTATTGCCTTTAGTATTGCAGGCGATCAGAGTCTACGGTAAGCGCCTACCATCTGGTGGCTTTTTTTTATGGGTGATAATGGAATGGTAACCCCCACCAGTAACCCCACCCGCGCTATCGGTATACCCCGGCGGGGCACCAGTGAAGGATGATAGGTGAGGATGAAGCAGGCCAGTTAGCCCATCGTGACGAATTCAACAAGAATTGTTCACTATGGTTTCCAGGGGGAACCACGTGGGGGTCGACCTGATATTGCATGATATTGCTAGCAATGGGGCTGTCAAACTCCATTGCTGATAGATAGATAGATAGATAATTTATTTGCACCACTTACAGCACACAAACAGCAAAAGATACAAAAGCAAAGTGAAAAAAAAAACAAAAACAAAATCAGAATGCATAAAATTAATAATTTTTTTTTCTTCATGCGTGTGCCACAGTAATACAAAATGCCCACAACTCAGCTTCTTGCTTTGCCCTAAAAAGAGCAAAACACTGCTCTAACTAATAACTAACTGCACTAATAATCCCTTCCCCCGCCCCCCATCTGGTGGGCTGTACGCTTGATTTCGACCTCAGTGGTATAAAAAAAGAAACAAAAATATAAATAGATATTTGATAAGGGTTAAACTAATCAGGATTATGGTAATAAGAATAATTTTAATTAATAAAAATATATTTGTATTTCTATTTCAAAACACAGTCGCAAGTGTAATGCTAAACAGAAGTCAAACTGCATTTCTGCATACTTACCTCGAGCCCTGTGAAATTGTGTCTGCTAAGTAAACTGGTCACGCTAGATTTGTAAAACATTAACATATCCAACATACTATGTAGCTGTTATACCTGCAATTCCATTAGTATGGATTGGAAACTTACTTTTGAAAGGCATGCTTCAATAAAATATGTCTAAAACATTGACTCAAGTTACATTAGCTCTCCAAATGCCATCATAGTTCAGATATACTTAAATACATTTAAAAAATGGCTTAAACACATAATGGTTGGTAATGTTAGTCAAATTTAATACATACAACAGATTTATAATCTCTTTTACTTATATTATTATTATTATATAATTAAAATAGCAAATCAGGATTCAAAAGGGGGATAAAGAGGTTTCTTCAGGGTCGGCAACGCACGCGTAATACCTCTGGTATTGCAGGCATTCATAGGCTACAGTAACCGCTTACCATCAGGTGGGCCGTATGCTTGTTTGCCACCTCAGTGGTATAAAAAAAATCAAGAAACTGGTGAAGAAATTTTTAGGGCATTCCATGGGACTCCTTTTCCGTGGGTATTTTTTTTTAAACAATTTATTCAATATATTTATTTGATACCCAGTACATTTATATGTAGTCCAAAAACGTCGTAGGGTTTATCAAGATATATTTTCTAATATTTTAATTAAATATGTATCAACAGCATCCATACATTAGTCATCAAAAAGGAATAAAATAACCAATTAACTTTTGAATTCGCAATAGTATTAAGCTTTGACAGAAAGAAAGAGAGAGAGTCAGAGAATAGTAACCTCTGGAAATAATCATGGGGGATCCCTAGTTTTTTTTTTTTAATGGATGATAATGGAACGGTTACCGCACCCGCGCTATCTGTATACACCGGCGAGGCACCAGTGAAGGATGATAGGTGAGGATGAAGTAGGTCAGTTAGCCCATCGTGACGAATTCAACAAGAATTGTTCACGATGGTTTCCAGGGGGAACCACGTGGAGGTCGGCCTTATAAGGCATATTGCTAGCAATGGGGCTGTCAAACTCCATTGCTAACAATTCCTTTCCCCCCCGGTGGATCCCTAGTGAACCGCTACGATCGACTAACTGACCAGAGAGTCTATCATGAAATGAAATTTCGAATGAATCGAAATCCACCTAGTAAATAGAGCTTAACATTTCTTTCACCAATACTACCACAAAAATCCAAAAGGAACGATATTTTAACATTTTAAATGGCATGTAATTTTAACATTAAATTTGTGTTTCGTTCGACCCCGAAATTTTGGAAAACATTTCATGGTAGGCCCTCTGATTTCATCCTCATCGTTTCATCCTTCGCTGGTGCTTGCCACTCTAACTACGAGTATCTGGAGGGAAGGGTTGTTAGTACCATGTGCACTACCATTCCCACTGCTAGCAATATACCCAATAAGATCACTCTCCAAGTGGTTCCCTCTAGAAACCATCGTGTTGAAGTCAAGGTGTATTTTTTTTTGATGGGTGAAAATGGTATGGTAACCCCGCCTGCGCTTACAGGATACGCTGGCGGAGCACCAGTGATAGGTGATAGATGAGAATGAAAACAGGCCAGTTAGCCCATCATGATGAATTCATCAGGAATTAACCATGATAGTTTCCAGGGAGAACCGCGATGAAGTCGACCTGATTGGGTATATTGCTAGCAATGGGATTCTCAGTCTCCATTACTAACAATCCCTTTCCCCCCTCAAGGTGTATTCATCACGATTGGCTAACTGACCTGCCTTTTCATCTCATCATCATTCACTAGTGCCCAGCCAGCGTATACCATTAACGCAGGCAGAATTACCACTCCATTGGCATCCATTAGAAAAAAACTACAAGTGTTTAAACGAGTGTATCATTCCAACTCCATGCATTAAAAGACCTCATTGTTATCGGTATTGGAGTGAACAAGTAGGTCGCGGTGCCAAACATGTTGAATCATAACTTTGACTTGTAAACTTTCAAATGTAAAGATATCGTCATTCTGAATGATGAGAGAGAAATGAGCAATAGGTAAATATTTAGACGACAAACAATTACGTACGTGGTGTGAAATCGATCTAAGTAATCTACAATACAAATTGAACATTTTGCTTAAAGAAACAGGGATCAAAATGTATAAAAAAAAGAAAGGCCTGCTCTATTTTATAATATGACAAGTAAGTCCTATACAAATATTGCAAACACTCTAATCAGTCTACCGGTTAATATTCTCCCCTACGAGAGATAGAGGACTCATACCTAATAGATATGAATAGGGGGGAAAGGGATTGTTAGCAATGAAGTTTGACAGCCCCATTGCTAGCAATATGCCCTATCAGGTCGACTACCACGTGATTTCTCCTGGAAACCATCGTGAACCATTCTTGTTGAATTCGTCACGATGGGCTAACTGACCTACTTCATCTTCACCTATCATCCTTCACTGGTGCCCCGCCGGTGTTTACCAATAGCGCGGGTGGGGTAACTAGTCCATTATCACCCATTAAAAAAATAGACATTAACTTATCGCATTATCATCATCATCACCTACCGTCATCACCTCATCACGTCACATCATCACCATTTGCCGGCTGCACACCTGCAATGCCGTAGGTGTTGTGGGTGATCATGCGCGGCGGTAGTCACTTACCATCAGGTGAGCCGCATGCTCGTTTGCCCCCTGTGTTGTAAAAAATACCTTCGTATGAGCCGTTATCTATTCGCTGCTGAACACAGAACATAGGCCATAGACTACCATAAGGAACGGTCCGAAAGCCATCTGTTACTACCCTCTCCTTGGAATGCATTTGAGATCATCACTCCATTTATTAATCAATCATCTATCAATTTATTGTATACTGCAATA